GCCCGGCCAATCAGCTTCATGCATCTTATTTTACAGCTGATATCGAAACACTAACTGATTTCTTACATGCTCCAACAAAATCCATTACTGAGAGTCTGGCATAAATATAAATGAGTGTTTTACAGTAAAATAACAAAACCATAAGAAGCGTTTTTCCTTCAAGCATTGGATGCTGGAGACGAGGGCTTGAATTCCTGCTCGGCCATGGGCACACACTGCAAGTCGCTTCTGGTTGCTTCTGGAGTGAGAGAATCAGCTGTCTACGAAGACGTTGCCCAGGGAACGCCCGGATGTCTTTACAATCCTGTGAGGAGGCTTCTCTCTCTGAGGATGACCTGAAAAGGAATCCCACGGGAGCATTGCAGTGCACACAAATACCTGGGAGTCACTCTGGATCCTGCTCTGACCTATAAGAAGCACTGCCTGAACATCAAGCAAAAAGTGGGTGCTAGAAACAACATCATACGAAAGCTGACTGGCACAACCTGGGGATCACAACCAGGCACAGTGAAGACATCTGCCCTTGCGCTGCGCTACTCTGCTGCTGAGTACGCATGCCCAGTGTGGAACACATCTCACCACGCTCAAACAGTGGATGTGGCTCTTAATGAGACATGCCGCATTATCACGGGGTGCCTGCGCCCTACACCACGGGAGAAATCACACTGCTTAGCCGGTATTGCACCACCTGACATCCGCTGGGAAGTCGCAGCCAATAGTGAAAGGACCAAGGCAGTGACATCTCCAGCTCACCCCCTGTTTGGGCATCAGCCAGCACGTCAACGACTTAAATCAAGAAATAATTTTCTAAGATCTACAGACACTCGCTGGAACACCTCAGCAAGCAAGAGTCCAAAAGTGGCAGAACCTCAACCAATGGCTGATACCAGATGAGAGGCTCCCCCCTGGGCACACAGAAGACTGGGCGACTTGGAAGGTGTTGAACAGTTAAGCCAAAGGTTGTGGTTAAGCGCAGAGTCTGCAGGTACAAGAAGGTACTTTCCATCAAAAGGTCAAGGGAGCGGGGCTGGAAGGAGAGTACTTTCCATGACCTATTACTTGAGTATAAAGGTCAGCAGAAACAGAGGAGGGGTGCGGCAGGCACTTGAAGGGTAGCATCTGCGTATGCTGCCAGGCTGTCCGTCTTCTTCATGAAGAAACTAAAATAAACCTTGTTTTTTGATCATTCTTTGGGACTGTCTCCTTCCTTATGTGCACCCGTGATGTGGACCTAAGAAGACCCAATTTAGGGTCTCTAACACCACCGCACTTTGAACTGGATTATATAGCAGTGTGGACTCATACAGACAAAATTCAATCTACTTGTGTCCTGTGTGAAGAAACGAAAAGTATGCCATTTTCAAAACGTCGTCAGATGCCCAATTGCAAATGAAGGCTGGTGTTCCATGAAAAAGCAGCAGATACACCTTGTCTGCACTCTTCCAAAAGCATGCAGGTTGGGGATGATGGGATCTAGGATCCAACACACCTCCAATGCGCTGGGTTAATAAAGGCTTTTGTGGAGAGGAGAATTCAGCTGGGCTCATCAATCTAGCTCTCTTTCTTGGATCGCAAACAAGCATTGGGAAGTCAGCAGCTGGTGGTCTCGGAGACGAGCGATGGCGAAACACGCAGGATTTAATTGCCTGGAAGTCTCCTGGGCCACCGGGTCTGGCGGAGACCTTTCCCAGGAATGAGTGCCGTTTAATGAATGGCGCTGACAACGAAGAAACAGCCTCCGCACTCTTCAAAATCGAAGGGAGGAAAGGAAGTTAGGCTATGTAATTTATTTGGAGTGTGTGCGCGCGTATGTATGTGTGTGTGTGTGTGTGTGTATACACTAGCTGTCCCCTGCCACTCATTGCTGTGGCCCACTCTGGTGGTCATGGGGGTTCCATGTGGGAAGTTTGGCCCAAATCTATCGTTGGTGGGGTTCAGAATGATTCTAGGTGAACTATAAATCCCAGCAACTGCAACTCCCAAATGTCAAGATTCTATTTTCCCCAAACTCCACCAGTGTTCACATTTGGGCATATGGAGTATTCGTGTAGAGTTTGGTCCAGAGTAAGTAACCTATGCCTGTTTATTTGTCCTTTGTTGTTATGTGAGTAATACATGCAAATGTTTATCCCCCTTTGAGACATACTCTAGCCACCTGTGTATTTTCCCTCTAGATCCCTATACTGTCCCATTGTATAAAACACCCGAGGAGGGATTACTATTGTGAAGAACTTATTTATTTATTTATTTATTTATTTACTCCATTTGTATACCGCATATATCAGCCTGCGACGGCGACTCAATGCGGTTTACAGTAAAAATGGCAACACTGACAATATATAAGACGTACATACACAAACAACACACAAAGTCATCAACGCCTCAATTAGAATCAGATCCCGTTCTCATAGTCCTTTTTTGTTCCTTGTTCAATGCCGTCTTACTGAGTTAGTTGTCATTGCATAGTTGTCCAAACGCCTGCTCATAGAGCCACGTCTTAACCCTCCTCCGAAACACCAGCAACGAAGGGGCCTGCCTGATGTCCACTGGTAGGGCATTCCATAGCCGAGGGGCCACCACTGAGAAGGCCCTGTCTCTCGTCCCCGCCAACCGTGCCTGCGACGCCGGCGGGACCGAGAGCAGGGCCTCCCCGGACGATCTTAAAGTCCTCGCCGGTTCATAGGTGGAGATGCGTTCGGATGATGTCTCATATATCCACCTGAGGAAGACTCTAGTCGAAACCGGTCGTGGATGTGGATATCCATGTATAAGGAACCAAAAATTTTCTCAAGCAAGGGATCCTATGCCCTGAAGAGAAGTTGGTTTTACACCAAGAAAGACTCTTTACATTATGCTTACTCTAAAGCAAGGGATCTTATGCCCTGAAGACAAGTTGTCTTTACACCAAAAGACTCTTCATGTTATGTATTTATTCTATTTATTTATTTGCTTTATTTCTATACCGCATTTTTCAGCCTAATTCGGCGACTCAATGCGGTTTACACAGTACAAATTATTATAACAATAACAAGTAGTTAAAACACATCATATACAACAGACAAAACAACAATCAATTATCATATCAACACCTCAATAAAAATCAGAATCCGTTCTCGTAATCCTTATACCATTTCCTATGTTCAATTATACCGTCTTCCTGTGTTCAGTTGCACTGTTTAGCCAAACGCTTGTTCATAGAGCCACGTCTTGACCTTCCTCCGGAACGCCAGCAACGAAGGGGCCTGTCTGATGTCTACGGGTAGGGCATTCCACAGCCAAGGGGCCACCACCGAGAAGGCCCTGTCCCTCGTCCCCGCCAGACGCGCTTGTGACGCAGGCGGGACCGAGAGCAGGGCCTCCCCGGACGATCTTAATGTCCTAGTCGGTTCATAGGTGGAGATGCGTTCGGAGAGGTAAGTGGGGCTGGAACCGTTTAGGGCTTTATAGGCTAACGCCAGCACCTTGAATTGTGCCCGGTAGCAGATTGGCAGCCAGTGGAGCTGGCTCAACAGAGGAGTGGTGTGCTCCCTGAAGCAGACCTTTTTCTTCCCCTGAGCAATGCTCAAGAGCTTTAAACCAAGTTCGATTGCGAGCGCAGATGAGTCAGGAAAAACAGCCAACTGGGTTCAGCAAGAATATCAAAGTTTATTTTAACAGCTGCTAGTTGACTTCCGACACAACAAGGCGTCTCTGGGGAAGTCACCCAGCACAAAGGGTTAGGGTTTCTTTTATACATACAAAGGGGTTCGGCTTTAAGAGCCGCCCCAAAGATTAAATCATTGGTTAAGAGAGCTGTCAATATTACATTTATGTTAAGCAATTAGATCATACATTTTTAAGTTTCGTTTCCCAATAAGCAAGCTCTTTTTGGAAACATCACAAGATGTTGATGCAGCTGGAGACTCTGCAAAGTCAGCACGTCTCTTGACCGATATTTCACCCTTGCACAAAAAACTTATCTTTGGCACCAAAACCCGTCTTTGTTTCCCATATATGGTCAAGTCCATATCCGTTCTCCTTTCTACATGAAAACTCCGGCATTTTGTAAAACTAAAGCTATACCTTCTGAAGAGCCCACAGAACAAAATTGAGGGGTATTTGCCATCACAACTATTAGGTCAACTGATCTGAAAAAAATATGGGATCTGATCCTGCCTTACCCTGAGTGCCGCTCCCGTTAGCAACCTGGCTGCCGAGCGCTGGACCATCTGAAGCTTCCAAGCAGTCTTCAAGGGCAACCCCATGTATGTGTAATCTTTGTAAACAACTGGTTGCTGTTCATTATATACTGGGTTATGCCTATACCATTTAATTTTGCCGTTTGTTGAATATTGTAATATACAAACTGTTAGGCAATATTGACCTTTGTCATTTATGTACCACAACTTTTAGTTGGTCTGGTTGTGATCCCCAGGTTGTGCCAGTCAGCTTTCGTATGATGTTGTTTCTAGCGCCCACTTTTTGCTTGATGTCCAGGCAGTGCTTCTTGCAGGTTAGAGCACGGTCCAAAGTGACTCCTCCCAGGGATTTGTGTGCGCTGCAATGCTCCTGTGGGATCCCTTCCCAGGTAATAATGCTCAGAGCTCGGGGTGCTTGTCTGTTCTTAAGGTGAAAGGCACATGTCTGTGTTTTAGGTGGGTTAGGGATCAGTTGCCTTTCCCTGTAGTAGGCAGTAAGAGCACCTAGAGCTTCGGAGAGTTTCTGTTCTCCCATCTCAAAGCTCCCTGCTTGGGCGGTGATGGCACGATCATCAGCATAGATGAAGCTCTCTGTCCCTTCTGGCTGTGGCTGGTCATTTGTGTAGATGTTGAACATGCTTCTCTGGCCCTAATATACTATGTAATACAACATCACATAATAAAAATACTAATAAGGAGGAGGAGGAGGGAGGGACTCTGGCCCCGCCCCTTTCAGTCTGGCCCCGCCCCCTTCCCCTCCTGGCCCCGCCCCCTTCCCCTCCGCGAGGCGGCGGCGGCAGCCAATGGGAAGGCCGCGGGGTAAGATGGCGGCTCTCTCCGCGTTGCAGGCCTCTTCGTCCTTTGGCGGCGCCGAAATGGGCGGCTTCGGCTTCCACAACTGCGCCCGGTGAGTGGGGAAGGGGCCCGAGGCCCTGGCGGGGAAGGAGGCGGAGGGCGGCCTTCGGAGGGCGGCGGCGTGACTCAGGCAAGGCCGAGGCCTAGCTCTCCCCGCCACGCCAGCCCTCGCGTAGGCCCAGAGCTGTTTTGGACTCCAACTCCCAGAAGCCTCAGCTGCCTCCGCCAATGGCCGGGGCATCTGGGAAATGAAGTCCAAAAGCCGACTTGGGGGAATACCGCCCAGTAGAGCAGTGGTTCTCATCCTGTGGCTGGGATTTTGGGGAGTTTTAGGCCAAAACACGGACCAAGTACAAGGACCAAGGAGCAACAGTCAGAACTGACCACGGAACAGGAGACGGGTTCAAGATTGGGAAAGGCGTCTGGCAAGGCTGCATCCTCTCACCCAACCTTTTGAACGTGTATGCAGAACACATCATGCGAGGATGTGCGGGGCTTGAGGAATGCAAAGCTGGGGTGAAAATGGCTGGAAGAAACATTAACAACCTCAGATATGCAGATGACACCACTCTGATGGCCGAAAGCGAGGAGGAGCTGAGGAGCCTTCTCATCAAGGTGAAAGAAGAAAGCGCAAAAGCTGGGTTGCAGCTAAACGTCAAAAAAACCAAGATTATGGCAACAAGAATGATTGACAACTGGAAATAGAGGGAGAAACTGTGGAGGCCGTGACAGACTTTGTATTTCTAGGTGCAAAGATGACTGCAGATGCAGACTGTGGCCAGGAAATCAGAAGACGCTTACTTCTTGGGAGGAGAGCAATGTCCAATCTCGATAAAATAGTAAAGAGTAGAGACATCAGACTGGCAACAAAGAGTCAAAGCCATGGTATTCCCTGTAGTCACCTACGGATGTGAGAGCTGGACCTTAGGGAAGGCTGAGCAAAGGAAGAGAGATGCTTTTGAGCTGTGGTGTTGGAGGAAAGTGCTGAGAGTGCCTTGGACTGCGAGGAGATCCAACCAGTCCATCCTCCAGGAAATAAAGCCCGACTGCTCACTGGAGGGAAGGAGACTAGAGACAAAGTTGAAGTCCTTTGGCCACATCATGAGGAGACAGGAAAGCCTAGAGAAGACAATTATGCTGGGGAAAGTGGAAGGCAAAAGGAAGAGGGGCCGACCAAGGGCAAGATGGATGGATGGCATCCTTGAAGGGACTGGACTGACCTTGAAGGAGCTGGGGGTGGTGACGGCCGACAGGGAGCTCTGGCATGGGCTGGTCCATGAGGTCACGAAGAGTCGGAGACGACTGAACGAATGAACAACAACAAGGCCAAAACACCAAGGGAGAATTCTCCACAGGTGGAAAACCACTAATGTAGAGACTGTGGAGAAAGCAAAATAAGAATTTTATGCAGTTTCACACTCTAAAAATGTATTTTTTTCCAGTCATATTGTTTGATATTGTTTACAGTTGTATTTTTTTATATTTTATCTGATATTTTTAATTGTGTGTTCTGTTTGTAATTTTTCGGCTTGTCCCTTGTAAGCTGCCCCGAGTCCCCTTGAGGGGTATAAAAATCAGGTTGTTGTTGTTGTTGTTGTTATTATTATTATTATTATTATTATTATTATTATTATTATTATTTAATGTATTGTCGAAGGCTTTCATGGCTAGAATCACTAGGTTGTTGTGGGTTTTTTCGGGCTCTATGGCCATGTTCTAGAGGCATTCTCTCCTGACGTTTCGCCTGCATCTATGGCAAGCATCCTCAGAGGTAGTGAGGTTTGTTGGAACTAGGAAAATGGGTTTATATATCTGTGAAATAACCAGGGTGGGACAAAGGACTCTTGTCTGCTGGAGCCAGGTGTGAATGTTTCAACTGACCATTTTTGGGCTGCATGAGAAGGAGTCTAGTGTCCAGATCAGCCATGGGCCCTCCCTCCAAGTGTTTTGGACTTCAACTCCCACAATTCCAAACAGCCTACCATGCTTTCCCTGCATGGCAGAAAAGGGTTTGTGTGGATGGCCCACGTAGAATCACAGAATAATACAGTTGGAAGAGACTACGTGAGCCACCCAGTCCAACCCCCTTCTGCCATTCAGGAAAAGCACAATCATAGTATCCCTGACAGGAGGCCATCAATAATAATAATAATAATAATAATAATAATAATAATAATAATAATAATAATAATAATGGAAGAGACCACATGGGACATCCAGTACAACCCCCTGCCATGTGGGAAAAGCACAATCAAAGCTTCCAACATCCAGCTTCCAAGGAAGGAGCTTCCATCACACTCCAAGGCAGAGAGTACCACTGCTGAACAACTCTTCTTATGGTTTCTTCCTAATCTTCAGGTGGAATCTCATTCCCTGTAATTTGAACCCATGGTTCCACTGAGTCCTAGTTTCTAGGGCAGCAGTAAACAAGCCTGCTCCCTCTTCCTTGTGGCATCTAGTCCAACTATTATTCTATGATTCTATGTTTTTGTGTTGGTTGTACCCTGCCTCGAGTCATTATGAGAGGTGTGTAATACATATCATGTGTCATTAATATTGTTATTATTTACACAAAAGCAAATCCAATGAAACAGCCATATATGCAATTTCCCCAGGCACTGAGATAAATATGTCCAGAAATGCATAGCATCTGTTTTCCTAATAGCTGGTGAACTGTCTGGGATTTCTGGGAGTTGTAGGCCAAAACACCTGGGGATCCACAGGTTGAGAACCACTGAACTAGACACTTTGTTCCTCTTGATGCAGCCGAGAATCACATTGGCCTTTTTAGTTGCTGCATCCTACTGTTGACTCATGTTCAGTTTGTGGTCTCCTAAGACTTCTAGATCCCTTTCACTTGGACTGTTTTCAAGCCAGGTGTCACCTATCCTATATATGCATGACCGCATTTCTGCGTATGAACCCACACGATCTCTTCGATCATCTGGAGGGGCCCTACCCACGCTCCCACCTGCATCGCAAGTACGATTTGTGGGGATGAGAGAGAGGGCCTTCTCGGTGGTGGCCCCTCGACTCTGGAACTCACTCCCTAAGGACATCAGGCATGCCCCATCTCTGGCAGACTTTAGGAGGAGCTTGAAAACGTGGTTGTTCCAGTGTGCCTTCCCAGAATAGTGAACCCTTAGCATTATGTCCTCCAAAGCACTTTATACCGATTTAGGACTGCTTGTACGTTTTCACCAACGCCCCACCTCCTCTATCTTGTTCATGCCTAGCATTATTTTTAAAACTTCAATTACATTTGGCCCAGCCATAGATTTTAATATGTGCACTGTACCTTGTTTAATTTTTATGCTATTTGTGTATGAGATTTATTTTAATTGCTTTGTATTGTGTCTGTTATTGCTTGTATTGATGTATTGTGGGCTCGGCCTCATGTAAGCCACACCGAGTCCCATGGGGAGATGGTATATTTGTCGTGTCAGGACAACCAGTCAAATTATATTACATTTCTAGCAGAAAAAGCAAACAAGCAGACAAAATACAAAATTTGTGAGTTTGGTAGTTGATTAAATGTCCTTTGACCCGTAGCTGGCCACTTGGAGTGCCTCTGCTGTTGCTGCAAGAAGGTCCTCCCTTGTGCATCATGTGGCAGGGCTCAGGTTGCATTGCAGCAGGTGGTCAGTGGTTGGCTCTTCTCCCCACTCGCATGTCGAGGATTCCACTTTGTGGCCCCATTTCTTGAGGTTGGCTCTGCATCTCGTGGTGCCAGAGCGCAGTCTGTTCAGCACCTTCCAAGTCGCCCCATCTTCTGTGTGCCCAGGGGGGAGTCTCTCATTTGGTATCAGCCATTGGTTGAGGTTCTGGGTTTGGGCTTGCCACTTTTGGACTCTCGCTTGCTGAGGTGTTCCAGCGAGTGTCTCTGTAGATCTTAGAAAACTATTTCTGGATTTTACTCGTTGGCATGCTGTCTGATACCCAAACAGGGGATGGGCTGGAGATGTCTCTGCCTTGGTCCTTTCACTATTGACCACTACTTCCCGGCGGATGTCAGGTGGTGCAATACCGGCTAAGCAGTGTAATTTCTCCAGTGGTGTAAGGCGTAGACACCCCGTGATAATGCGGCATGTCTCATTAAGAGCCACGTCCACTGTTTTAGCGTGGTGAGGTGTGTTCCACACTGGGCATGCATACTCAGCAGCATAGCGCAAGGGCAGATGTCTTCACTGTGTCTGGCTGTGATCCCCAGGTTGTGCCAGTCAGCTTTCGTATGATACTGTTCCTAGCATCCACTTTTTGTTTGATGTTCAGGCAGTGCTTGAACATGGGGGGATGGTAGCGGGGTCTAAATAAAGTGTATTATTATTATTATTATTATTATTATTATTATTATATCTGTGCATTGCACCCCTTGCTGTTTCTGTTTTCTCCTGTGGTGATTGGGATAGCCAGCTCTATTACAGTGACCCTTATCACAGCTTTTCTGGAACACATTTAATATTTTCAGCTTTTATTTCAATATTCAATTCATTCCACCTTTCCTCCCCCTAGGAATGCCCACCTGGAAGCTGAAGGAGCCAAGAAGGGTCTCAAGCTCCCCTCGGCTCGCAAGACGGGGACCACCATTGCTGGAGTCGTGTTCAAGGTGAGTCGTGTTCAATCAACCTCTCATTCCCATGTTTGTCAAGGTTGCATTGCTGCAGCACACTCAGTTCCTGCTTCCAGTGGAACAGTCCTATCTATACTCAGAAACAAGTCCTTTGGAAGTCAGTGAGTGGATTTGGTATTTCTTGCAGCTTAAACAGGTTCTTCTTTCTCCAGGATGGGATTGTACTCGGAGCAGATACAAGGGCAACTGAAGGGATGGTGGTTGCGGACAAGAACTGTTCGAAGATACATTACATTTCTCCAAACATCTAGTAAGTCAAAGTATAGTCAACATTTCGTTAGATGTGCTCTTATTCATTAATGTTGTGAAATAATTAGATGGAGGAAGCTATAGAGCAGGGGCGCCAAGCTCCTTTTCCATCGAGGATCGCATCAGCCATATGGCTGCCTTCAAAGGGCTGTTGAATCAGTGGAGACCGAAAGCCAACTATATATTTAGTTGTCAGTGCTCATAGTGGTCGATGCGTTTTAGGTTTTGCACAGTTTGGGTGCTCAGATTTTATTGAATGACAACTCCCCATCCCTTTTCATTATCTGCCATGTGGATGGGGGATGATGGGAATTGTAACCCAATGGCACTTGTGTGGGATTGGGGATGTTATGGGATGACTCAAAGTCAGAATTCATCTCCATAAGTGGCTTGCTGTGAACTTTCTGAGCTGTATGGCCATGTTCCAGAAGCATTCTCTCCTGACGTTTCGCCTGCATCTATGGCAAGCATCCTCAGAGGTCTCTTGAAAATGAGGCAAGCGGAGTGTATATACATATATCCCTGTGGATTAATGTCCAGGGTGGAAGAAAGAACTCTTGTCTGCTCGAGGCAAGTGTGAATGTTGCAACTGGCCTCCTCAATTAGCATTGAATGGCCTTGCAGCTTCAAAGACTGGCTGCTTCCTGCCTGGGCGAAATCCATTGTTGGGAGGTGTTAGCTGGCCCTGATTGTTTCATGTCAGGAATTCCATTGTTGTTTGAGTGTTCCTCTTTATTTATTGTCCTGATTTTAGAGGGTTTTCTAAATACTGGTAACTAGATTTTATTCATTTTCATGGTTTCCTTCTTTCTGTTGAACTTGTCCACATGTTTGTTTATTTCAATGGCTTTGCTGTATAGTCTGGCAGGAAGCAACCAGTCTTTGAAGTTACAAAGCCATTCTATGCTAATCAATGTGGCCAATTGCAACATTCAGACAAGAGTTATTTCTCCCACCCTGGACATTATTCCACAGATACATAAACCCCACTTGCTTAGTTTCCAACAAACCTCAGAACTTCTGAGGATGCTGGCCATAGATGTGGACAAAATGTCAGGAGAGAATGCTTCTTTAACAGGGCCAGGAAACCTGGAAAACAATTCACAGCAACCCAGTCCTTCCAGCCATGAAAGCCTTTGGCGAATGACTCAGAAGGATTCAAAAGGGGGCAGAGATTGCATATACATACATACACACACACACACACACACACACACACACTAGCCGTCGCCTGCCATGCGTTGCTATGGCCCACATGGGGGTTCAGTGTAGGAGGTTTGGCCCAATTCTACCGTTGGTGGGGTTCAGAATGCTCTGTGATTGTAGGTGAACTATAAATCCCGGCAACGACAACTCCCAAATGTCAAGATTCTATTTCCCCCAAACTCCACCAGTGTTCACATTTGGGCATATTGAGTATTCGTGTAGAGTTTGGTCCAGATCCATCCTTGTTTGAGTCCACAGTGATCTCTGGATGTAGGTAAACTACAACTCCAAAACCAAAGGGCACTGCCCACCAAAACCTTCCAGTATCTTCTGTTGGTCATGGGAGAACTGTGTGCCAAGTTTGGTTCAATTCCATCGTTGGTGGAGTTCAGAATGCTCTTTGATTGTAGCTGAACTATAAATCCCAGCAACTACAACTCCCAAGTGACAAAATCAATTTTTTTGAGTGAAGAACATACATTGGGTTGTTAGGTTTCTTGTGTCCAAATTTGGTGTCAATTCGTCCAGTGGTTTTTGAGATCTGTGAATACCACAAACGAACATTACATTTTTATTTATATAGATATACATACACACACATACAAAAATTAGGAATACAGCAGCACAAGAAAGCCACTTAGAAATGTTCAAATGGGTGCACTGATTGCGAATTTGCATTGCACAAAAACATAAAAAATTGAAAAATTAGGAATATAGCCCACAAATAGCTTCCAACAGACCTTACAACGTCTGAGGGTGCCAGCCTTAGATGTGGGCAAAATGTCAGGAGAGAATGCTTCTGGAACATGGCCAGACAGCCCAGAAAAGCAACCCAGTGATGCCAGCCATGAAAGCCTTTGACAACACATCTCCTTAAGCCTTGCATCTCAATTCAAAACCCAGAACAAACTAGCCTTTCCTGCGTTCCTGTATCGCAACTCCCATCAGTTCTGCCTAGTGACGATTAACACTGGAGTTGTAGTCCAGCATCTGGAGAGCCATATAAAATGATATTGGGGGGTGGAGGGGAGGCTGGATTCATCCTGTGTGTTATAGACTGTTGATGCCTAATGGAACCAGCCAGTTGAAAACAGAAGCATCAATTTACAATCCAAAATACTCTCACGGTTCCCACTGCCTGGCTGGTTCCTTCATCTATATGAATAAAAATGTCATGTTCGTTTGTGGGATTCACATAACTCAAAAACCATTGGACGAATTGACACCAAATTTGGACACAAGACAACCTACTAATCCAAAGAGTGACCATCGCTCAAAAAATTGATTTCGTCATTTGGGAGTTGTAGTTTCTGGGATTTATAATTCACCTACAATCACAGAGTATTCAGAACTCCACCAATGATGGAATTGAACCAAATGTGGCACACAGAACTCAGTGATTGGTTGGGGGGGGGGGATATGCCCCAATTTGAATACTATTGGGGTTGGGGAGGGGATTGGTTTTGTCAAATGGGAGTTGTAGTTGCTGGGATTTATAGTTCATCTACAATCAAAGGGCATTCTGAACTCCACCAATGATGGAATTGAACCAAACTTGGCACACAGAACTCCCATGACCAACAGAAAACACTGGAAGGGTTTGGTGGGCATTGACCTTGAGTTTGGGAATTATAGTTCACCTACATCCAGAGAGCAGTGTGGACCAAACAATGATGGATCTGGACCAAACTTGACACAAATATTCCATATATATATGAACACAGATGGAGTCTGGGGGACTTTGACATTTGGGAGTTGTAGTTACTGGGATTTATAGTTCACCTACAATCAAAGGGCATTCTGAACTCCACTAACAATGGAATTGAACCAAATGTGGCACACAGAACCCCCATGACCAACAGAAAACACTAGAAGGGTTTGGTGGGCATTGACCTTGAGTTTGGGAATTATAGTTCACCTACATCCAGAGAGCAGTGTGGACCAAACAATGATGGATCTGGACCAAACTTGACACAAATATTCCATATATATATGAACACAGATGGAGTCTGGGGGACTTTGACATTTGGGAGTTGTAGTTACTGGGATTTATAGTTCACCTACAACCAAAGAGCATTCTGAACTCCACCAGCGACAGAATTGGGGCAAACTTCCCACACAGAACCCCCATGACCAACAGAAAATACTTAAGGCCATCCAATCCAACTCCCTTCACCAGGGCAAGAAAACGTAATCAAAGCTCTCCTGACAAAGAGCCATCCAGCCCTAGATATTGATAGATAGATATGATTCACACACAGAGAGGTATAGTATCAAATATTGGAAAGGGACCCCTAAAGAAGGGCAATAATATGTTCCATGTTCCAGAGTGGGCAAACCAGACACTCTCCGCATCAACACTGACAAAGAAACAGCAAGAAATACTAGGTTCTTGTGGGTTTTTTCGGGCTATAGAGCCATGTTCTAGGGGCATTTCTCCTGACGTTTCGCCTGCATCTATGGCAAGCATCCTCAGAGTAAGGTCGACCTCACTACCTCTGAGGATGCTTGCCATAGATGCAGGCGAAACATCAGGAGAAATGCCTCTAGAACATGGCTCTATAGCCCGAAAAAACCCACAAGAACCTAGTGATTCCAGCCATGAAAGCCTTCGACAATAGCAAGAAATACTGTTTACCCACAAGCATCAAGACATGTGGCGGCAAAAAAAGCCAATGAGATTTTGGCCTGCATCAATAGGAGCCTAGTGTCTAGATCTAGGGAAGTAATGCTACCCCTCTATTCTGCTTTGGTTAGACCACACCTGGAATATTGTGTCCAATTCTGGGCACCACAATTCAAGAGAGATATTGACAAGCTGGAATGTGTCCAGAGGAGAGCGACTAAAATGATAAAAGGTCTGGAGAACAAGCCCTATGAGGAGCGGCTTAGAGCTGGGCATGTTTAGCCTGAAGAAGAGAAGGCTGAGAGGAGATATGATAGCCATGTATAAATATGTGAGAGGAAGCCACAGGGAGGAGGGAGCAAGCTTGTTTTCTGCTTCCCTGGAGACTAGGACGCGGAGAAATGGCTTCAAACTCCAAGAGAGGAGATTCCATCTGAACACGAGGAAGAACTTCCTGACTGTGAGAGCCATTCAGCAGTGGAACTCTCTGCCCCGGAGTGTGGTGGAGGCTCCTTCTTTGGAAGCTTTGAAACAGAAGCTGGATGGCCATCTGTCAGGGGTGATTTGAATGCAATTTTCCTGCTTCTTGGCAGAATGGGGTTGGACTGGATGAGGGCCCAGGAGGTCTCTTCCAACTCTTTGATTCTATGATTCTATGACATATATTAATAATCAACACTTTCTCGTTACTTTATTTTCCAGAGCAACAGACTGAGCCACAGCAATACGTGGCAGGGGATGGCTAGTTTTTTATTTATATATAAAATGTCAAACGAATTCCATGGGTAGATATGCAGTTGAGTCCCCCGTAGAGAGCTGTTAACGTTGTTTCCTCACTAAACGTCTTGCAATGCTCATGTTTGCAGTTGTTGTGGTGCCGGAACCGCTGCAGATACGGAGATGACCACTCAGTTGATCTCTTCCAACATGGAGCTGCACTCGCTCTCAACCGGACGGCTTCCGAGGGTGGTCACAGCCAACCGGATGCTCAAGCAGATGCTTTTCAGGTAACCAACGGCCCTTGGGATGGGTAGACAGTTCAGCAGCTGCTCCTCCCCCCCTCCCCACAATATAGACAGCAACTGAATATAAAATACATTTTTTAAATGACTTTTTATTGAGGTTTTAAGATATTGTAGGGTTACAGGGAAAGAGTGAGAACAATACTCAACAGTAAAGAGGTAGAAGAAAGGGAGAAGAAGTATAGAGACAGTGGGGAGCGGGGGGTTTACAGACATCTGTGTAAGGGGAGAGAGAGAGAGAGAGAAAAAAGAATATGAAAGAATATATACATTGTTGACTTCCATTCTGGGATTTTGTTGCATACTCGACCTTCCCTCACTTTTTCTTCCTCATCTGTCTTCTTTCTTCTTTTCTTCCATATAGTTTTCAAAGAGAGACCAATCTGTCTCTCGGATTGGGTTTCCTGAGTTCTTTTTTTAACAAAAATGTTAGTCTGTCCATGTCTTTAATTTCTAAAATTTTAATTAACCATCTCTCTGTGTCTGGGATTTCCCCCAGATTCCAGTATTTTGCATAAATAATTCTTGCCGCAGTTGTTAGATATGTCAGTAATATATCTTTGTTTTGATCTAAATTAATAGCCGAATCTGTAATATTTAGTAGATAATACTCAGGCTTTTTTAGATATGTGATTCCTAAAATTTTCTGAGACTCCATGTGTATTTTTTTCCAAAATTCTTGTGCTTTTTTGCAAGTCCACCACATGTGGTAATAGCTACCTTCCTCTTCTTGGCACTTCCAGCCTTTATTTTCTGTATTCTTATACATTATACTTATTTTTTTTGGTGTAATATGCCACCTATGGAACATCTTCCATAGGTTTTCTTTCAGATTTGTCGCATACGTATATTTAATTTTTTTATTCCATATCATGTCCCATTCCCTTAAATGGATTGGTCTTCTCACATTTTGGGCCCATCTAACCATACAATTTTTAACCGTTTCTGTTTCCGTTGCCCAATCCAGTAATTTACTATAAATTTTAGATATCAATTTTTTCTCTGCATTTAGTAGTTTCTCCCATACATTTTCTTCTAGGCAGAAGCCTGTTTTCTTATCTATATATATAAATCTGTTAGGTTGGTTCAACGGGACAGCAAAACTCCACAACCCCCCAACGAAACTTAACCAAAATTCCCATGCCCATAACACAACCCACAAGGTGCAAACATATCTACTCAAAATGAAAAACAACACAACAACACACTCACAAAACGGCAAAACAACAAAACTCAAAAAACCCAACGAAACTTAACCAAAATTCCCATGCCCATAACACAACCCACAAGGTACAAACATATCTACTCAAAATGAAAAACAACACAACAACACACTCACAAAACGGCAAAACAACAAAACTCCACAACCCCCAACGAAACTTAACCAAAATTCCCATGCCCATAACACAACCCACAAGGTACAAACATATCTACTCAAAAATGAAAAACAACACAACAACACACTCACAAAACGGCAAAACAACTGAGCAAAAAACCACCGAAACTTAACCAAAATTCCCATGCCCATAACACAACCCACAAGGTACAAACATATCTACTCAAAATGAAAAACAACACAACAACACACTCACAAAACGGCAAAACAACAAAACTCAAACCCCAACGAAACTTAACCAAAATTCCCATGCCCATAACACAACCCACAAGGTACAAACATATCTACTCAAAATGAAAAACAACACAACAACACACTCACAAAACGGCAAAACAACAAAACTCCACAACCCCCCAATGAAACTTAACCAAAATTCCCATGCCCATAACACAACCCACAAGGTACAAACATATCTACTCAAAATGAAAAACAACACAACAACACACTCACAAAACGGCAAAACAACAAAACTCCACAACCCCCAACGAAACTTAACCAAAATTCCCATGCCCATAACACAACCCACAAGGTACAAACATATCTACTCAAAATGAAAAACAACACAACAACACACTCACAAAACGGCAAAACAACAAAACTCCACAACCCCCCAACAAAACTTAACCAAGGAGAGAAAGGGGGAGGAAAAGGGGGAAGGAATAGGTAGGTACCTCACTTTTATAATAGTCCAGATATCTACCTCAACTTTGATAAGTTTTACTATAGGCCACAGCAACGTGTGGCAGGGCACAGCTAGTCTTGTTTATAATAACTACATAATTGCATATAGTGTAACCATGACAAATTTCCAAAGTCTTTTGGTTTTCCGGGCTATAAAATACCTTTTTATAAATGACGATATGAGCAGGGTCTCTTGCGGCTGGAGCGGGAGGCACAGAGGGAAGAACTAATTAAAAAGAAGGCCCTGTGTTGGAGAAACATTCCTCCTGTTCACGATGCTTTCCCGCAGGTATCAAGGTTACATTGGAGCGGCCTTGGTTCTAGGTGGGGTGGACGTCACGGGAGCCCACCTCTACAGCATCTATCCCCATGGATCCACTGACAAGTTGCCGTATGTCACGATGGGTAAGTCTCCGCGTCCCTTTTGTAATTTAGAGCCTCTCAAGTGCATTGCCACCTTGTGGAGACCCACGGCATTTAACCTCTTTCCCTCATCTCATGCGCAGTTAGCATTGCAGAAACCGAAAGGAAAATGGCAGTCTTTTCTTTCTTTTGCTTAGTCACCCGTCTTGACTCTTAGGCTCTGGTTCTATTTATTATTTATTTATTTATTTACTACGCTTATATACCGCAATTCTCAGCCCAAGGGCGACTCATTGCAGTGTACAACATAGAAAAACAGGGGCAAAATACAAGACATAGTGTAAAAAATCCACAATTCATCATTATCAAAAAACATCCCATCAAATGGGATTTTGGCCTGCATCAATAGGAGCCTAGTGTCTAGATCTAAGGAAGTAATGCTACCCCTCTATTCTGCTTTGGTTAGACCACATCTGGAATATTGTGTCCAATTCTGGGCACCACAATTCAAGAGAGATATTGACAAGCTGGAATGTGTCCAGAGGAGAGCGACTAAAATGATCAAGGGTCTGGAGAACAAGCCCTATGAGGAGCGGCTTAGGGAACTGGGCATGTTTAGCCTGAAGAAGAGAAGGCTGAGAGGAGATATGATAGCCATGTATAAATATGTGAGAGGAAGCCACAGGGAGGAGGAGGGAGCAAGCTTGTTTTCTGCTGCCCTGGAGACTAGGACGCAATGGAGGAATGGCTTCAAACTACAAGAGAGGAGATTCCATCTGAACATGAGGAAGAACTTCCTGACTGTGAGAGCCGTTCAGCAGTGGAACTCTCTGCCCCGGAGTGTGGTGGAGGCTCCTTCTTTGGAAGCTTTTAAACAGAGGCTGGATGGCCATCTGTCAGGGGTGCTTTGAATGCAATATTCCTGCTACTTGGCAGAATGGGGTTGGATTGGATGGCCCATGAGGTCTCTTCCAACTCTTTGATTCTATGATTCTATGAAAACATCAACATTACTACAAAAGCCATTCCGAGTCGTCTCATTGTCAAACCCACAATCCGATATCATTTCCGTTGTTCCATTCCTATGGTCAAATTACCAGTCATTGCACTTCTTATTCAAATGCCTTCTTAAACAGCCAGGTCTTTAGCTTCCTGCGGAATATCAACAGGGAGGGAGCTAGCCTGATGTCCACGGGAAGGGTGTTCCACAGCCGAGGAGCCACCACCGAGAAGGCCCTATCTCTCGTCCCCGCCAGCCGTGCCTGTGACGCAGGCGGGATCGAGAGCAGGGCCTCCCCGGAAGATCTCAAAGTCCTCGTGGGCTCATAGGCCGAGAGGCGGTCAGTTAGGTATCTTGGGCCGGAACCGTTTAGGGCTTTGTAGGTCAACACCAGCACCTTGAATTGAGCCCGGTAGCAGATCGGCAGCCAGTGGAGTTGGTACAGCAAGGGGGTTGTATGCTCCCTGCGTCCCACTCCTGTTAGTAACATGGCTGCCGCTCGTTGGACCAGTTGGAGCTTCCGGGCCGTCTTCAAAGGCAACCCCACGTAGAGAGCGTTGCAGTAGTCTAAACGGGATGTAACCAGAGCGTGGACTACCGTGGTTCTGTGGGAGAAATTCAGCTTCAACAACTTTGCAAGATAATTCGTTGGGCGAGTGGGCTTATTAACACAAGACCCTCCTTATAAATGCGCAGCAGAGTAACTTATTAGCAGCACCGTGACCCAGCACCAAGTGATAAAAAGAACAAAAACACACAGACCAGTGTTCTCTCTTCCATAGGAGGCTTTTCTTCATAGCAAAACAATATGGCTGCACTATTTACAAGAACAAGGATGCCCTACTTACTTACTTACTTAGGCGATCCCTCGTTGGACGAGTAAGATGGTCTTCCATTATGGGTTTCCTTGTGGGTCCGTATGTGGCTGTGGAGCCCTATTCTTGCTCTGCATCTTCTTCCGCAGTGAGGGCATTGGTTTCCAGGTGGAAGGCGGTCCCGGTCGGGGGTGGCTTGACGCGCCTTCCTCCTGGCACGTTTCTCTCTTTCACCCTCCACTCGTGCCTCCTCAAATTCTGCAGCACTGCTGGTCACAGCTGACCTCCAGCTGGAGCGCTCAAGGGCCAGGGCTTCCCAGTTCTCGGTGTCTATGCCAGAGTTTTTAAGGTTGGCTTTGAGCCCATCTTTAAATCTCTTTTCCTGTCCACCAACATTCCGTTTTCCGTTCTTGAGTTCAGAGTAGAGCAACTGCCTTGGGAGACGGTGGTCAGGCATCCGGACAACGTGGCCAGCCCAGCGGAGTTGATGTTGGAGGACCATGGCTTCAGTGCTGGTGGTCTTTGCTTCTTCCAGCACACTGACGTTTGTCCGCTTGTCTTCCCAGGAGATTTGCAGGATTTTCCGGAGGCAGCGCTGATGGAATCGTTCCAGGAGCTGCATGTGACGTCTGTAGACAGTCCACGTCTCACAGGCATAGAGCAGGGTTGGGAGGACAATAGCTTTATAGACAAGCACCTTGGTCTCCCTATGGATGTCCCGGTCCTCAAACACTCTCTGCTTCATTCTGGAAAATGCTGCACTTGCAGAGCTCAGGCGGTGTTGTATTTCGGCGTCGATGTTGACTTTGGTGGAGAGGTGGCTGCCAAGGTAGCGGAAATGATCAACATTTTCTAATGTTACACCATTAAGCTGTATTACTGGCATTGGAGAGGGATTGGCTGGTGCCTGCTGGAAAAGCACCTTGGTTTTTTCAATGTTCAATGACAGGCCGAGCTTCTCGTATGCTTCTGCGAAGGTGTTTAGAGTGGCTTGTAGATCTTCTTCTGAATGCGCACAGACGACATTGTCATCAGCATACTGGAGTTCTATAACAGATGTTGTTGTAACTTGGTTTTGGCTTTCAGTCTGCTGAGGTTGAATAGCTTGCCATCTGTCCGATAGATGATTTCCACTCCGGTGGGAAGCTTCCCATCAACAAGGTGAAGTATCATAGCGATGAAGATGGAGAATAGAGTTGGAGCAATAACACATCCCTGTTTGACACCGGATTCCACTTTAAATGGGTCACTTTGGGAGCCACTGCTGTCCAAGACTGTTGCCATCATGTCATCATGGAGGAGCCGCAGGATGTTCACAAATTTGCTTGGGCACCCGATTTTTTGGAGGATGGTCCAGAGAGCGCTGCGATTCACTGTGTCGAATGCCTTTGCAAGGTCGATGAATGCCATGTACAGAGGTTGGTTTTGTTCCCTGCATTTTTCTTGGAGCTGTCGTGCAGTGAAGATCATGTCCACGGTTCCTCTGGAGGGGCGGAAGCCGTTCTGGGATTCTGGGAGGGGTGTCTTCTGAGAGGGGCAGAAGGCGGTTTGCAAGGATTCTTGCGAGGATTTTCCCAGCGGAGGTTAGAAGGGAGATACCTCGATAGTTTCCGCAGTCTGTTCTTTCCCCTTTTTTGAAGAGGGTGATGATGGTGGCATCCTTGAAGTCTGCTGGGATTTTCTCGGTCACCCACACTTTTTCTATGAGCTGGTGGAGTTGGTGTGTCAGCTCAGGTCCTCCCTCTTTAAAGATTTCAGCAGGGATCCCATCTGGTCCACTGGCTTTGTTATTCTTCTGTTGGCTGATGGCATTGCTGACTTCTTCCAAACTAGGCAGTGCTGCAAGCTCGTCCCTGGTTTGTTGTTGTGGGATTTGTGAGAGGACCTCTTCGGCCACATTGGAGCTGCGGTTCAGGAGGCTTTGGTAGTGTTCTTTCCAACGTAGTGCAATTGAGTTTTGGTCCTTCAGGAGTTTGGTTCCATCTGATGAGCGTAGAGGCTGTATGCCATGGTTTCTTGGTCCGTAGATGACCTTTGTGGCTTTGAAAAATCCCTGAGCATTATGGGTATCTGCCAGGTGTTGGATTTCTTCAGCCTTCTTTGTCCACCAGATGTTCTTGAGTTCTCTTGTCCTTCTTTGGACCTCAGCTTTTGTACTGGCATAGATCTTTTTCTTAGCAGCACAGTTGATGTCTTCTCTGCCATGCTTGGAAGGCTTTCCTTTTCTTGTCAATTAGCTGTTGGATCTCGATGTCATTTTCATCAAACCAGTCTTGATGTTTCTTGGCTTGGTATCCAATAGTTTCTTCGCAGGCTTGGATGATGGAGGTCTTCAGTTTGTTCCAATGTTCCTCAACATTTTCGGGGTGTACTGTGGGTAGATGGTTCTTGAGTGCTGTTTGGAGATGGGCTCGTCTGGAGGGCTCCTGAAGGGCTTGGGTGTTCATTTTGCGCCTTGTCTTCCTTCCTTGGAGTCTGCGCTTGGGAGCGATCTTGATAGCCATCGAGGATCGAATTAGCCTGTGGTCAGTCCAGCAGTCGTCAGCACCTGTCATGGCTCTTGTGAGGAGCACGTCACGGCGGTCTCTGGCGCGTGTGATTACATAGTCTAAGAGGTGCCAATGCTTTGACCGGGGGTGCTTCCATGATGTCTTGAACTTGTTTTTCTGGCGGAAGAGCGTGTTGGTGATAACAAGGTTGTGCTCCGCACATTTGGTGAGAAGCAGGATGCCATTTGAGTTGCTGTTTCCAACCCCGTCTTTTCCAATGGTCCCTGGCCACAGGTCGAAGTCTCGCCCGACTCTTGCATTGAAGTCCCCCAGGAGGATGATTTTGTCCTCCTTAGGTATCCCCGATAGGACGGTATCCAGCTGACAGTAGAATTTCTCCTTGATGTCTTCGTCAGCATCTAGTGTTGGTGCATAGGCACTTATGATGGTTGCCCGTTGGTTTTTGGCAAGATCGATTCGGAGGGTTGAGAGTCGTTCGTTGATGCCAGTGGGTGCTTCGGACAGATGTTTCATCAGATCATTTCTGATGGCGAAGCCAACTCCGTGCATTCTTTGGTCTTTTTCGGGCAGTCCCTTCCAGAAGAAGGTGTAGCCTCCTTTTTCTTCCTTCAGCTGTCCCTCTCCTGCTCTCCGGGTCTCCTGAAGGGCTGCTATGTCGATGTTGAAGCGTCCCAGCTCCCTTGCAATGATGGCAGTTCTGCGTTCGGGGCGTTCACT